GAACGTGGGATGCTACAAATACCATCTAGAATGTAGCACTGGCTTAGTGGAATTGGCAGGCCAGCAGATGGTAGGGACAGAATTGCATTTTTACATAATTGCTTTTTTCAACATTAGATGAAATTGTCATCTGTGGTAACTTGGAGGGTGGACGACATGCTGCTGAGCCATGACAATAGAGAAAATGGGGGGAGGATGCAAGAAGCATGACTTGCTCCTTGTTGCTTTTCACAGAGTCCTACACAAGTGAGAGGAACTGGGGCTAGAGCCGGCCAGACTCAGCAGAGATGGGAGGGGATCCTGCTTTGATAAGGGAGGCACTGTTTGTAGCCTGAACTCAAAATTAAGGTTCTGAAGCATAGGAATGCCTGTTCTCCGAACTGCAGCTCTGAGAGCGGTGGCCTTAAAGTGCAGCCTCTGCAGGAGGTAAGGCTGGGGCAGCAAGCTACGCCAAGAATTCCTTGCCAGCGCATGCAGACCAGGTGTATCCAACGATCAGATTAAGGGCGTTGTTTCAGAGAGGGAGAAAAACCACCCCCAAAACTATGGGGCAAAGAAAGGAGGGGTGCTTTAGAGCAAACACGGTTGACAAAATGCTAGCCATTGAAACCGGTTAATGTTGCCTAAGCACTCATTATCAGAATCTCTCTAATTTGGTATAAATGTGAAATATTCCACAATACAAAATTTAAAAATAAGACTATCTAAAATAAACAAAGGGTGTTTCCCTCCCACCCTAGGTCCCCTTTCAGGTGGCCTTGGAGGAAGAGGCATAAGCAAAGCACCGAAGGCCAGGCTAGACCAGATCTTCAGCTCTGGGTATTTGATGAAATTCTACTGTTTCAAAGAAAACACAACCCTGGGACCTTCCAAAACTGCCCCGAGAGTAAGCAGGCTACGGAAACTGTGCTGTCCTCCCGCTGCAGGTTCCACCTTGGACATGGCCATGGAGGTCAATGGACAAGGAGCTCCTCCCAGAGCTGGAAGGGCCGGCAGGAGGCTCGTCAAGGGCCTGGCGGGCCTGCTAGTTGTCTTCACTCTTCCTGTGCAGTGGCCTTTGACAGTTGCTTGGAGTGGTGTTTCCTGTTCTCCCCTCTTACGAAGGAGGTTTCAATGGCTGTTTGCCTGCTGCTACTTCACTACTGTTTAAGGGTCATGTTGGGAGAAGATAACTTGTCTTGAGTTCATAGGTCACTAGACCACAAGAAGCACCCAGAGCTGAAGGAGACCACAAATTACCCAATGTTGATTTTATCTTTAGCTTTATGCTCTACCTGGATGGAGTTTGGGTTGTCTCACCTTGAGGCAAGGAGTGAGCTCTATGTGAGGCAAGAAAGGTGACCCAAGGGTTGAACTACAGCAGCACCACTACTTGCCCCTCAAACACATTGTTTCCTTATTTCTCAGAACTCCTGAGCTTCAGTTTGTAGGTACATGGCTTCTTGGAGTAAGAACGACCTCTCCCAGACTCCCTTGCAGCAGGTATGACCCTGTGACCAAGTTTTGATCAATGGGAAGTACAACATCCCGATGACGCACCCTGAGGGAAGGGGTCTTGCTTTTCTCCACCCACCTCCTTCCATCCTGCTGGCTGTAGTGAGAATGTGGCTGCAGCCACCACCATGGACCTCAGTGTAGAAACTTCACACTGGCAGAGCAACAAGTCAGAAGGAACCTGGGACCTGGGGATCATGGAGCCACCCTGAGAACCCTGCATGATAGAGGGTAAAGAACCTTGTACTTTGTGTAAGCTATTGTTGGCTTGAGAGCTGAACCTAATTCTGATCCAGATCTTGCCATCCACACAAGGGTAAGACTGACAGGTGTTGTGCATGGCCATGCCCTGACTAGATCAAAGGTGGAGATGGATGGAGAGCATTCTCCTCAAAGATTTAGTATTTACCTGAAAGAAAGCAAACAAAATAAGAAAACACTTCCAGAAATCAAGACAATTATTAGAACAAAAATGTCAACACACAATGCTCGTGTTGCATAGCTTGAATGTTTTTATATTAATCAAATTGTTTTCAGTAGAATCATTGGCAGAACAGGTCTGAATGAAAAACATTCCAAATTTACAGAAAAAAAATATTGCTGATCAATTAATATAGTTTTCAATAAAACCACGTAACACAAATCCTTTGTTGCTCTAAACAGAATGTGAGTCATCAAGATGGCAGGCAGTCCGGCCATCAGAATCCCATGTATTTGGTTCCTCAGGCTGAGGTCAGAGTTTTTGCCATCTTTACTGAATCTCAACTCAGTGTAGGATGGCAAGGATGGCAAGAATCAGAGGTGGCAATCCTTGTCTTTGCATTCAACAGCGTCAAGGTTTGAGGGACAATCGCTTGGGGACCAGTCACAGAAATATGATACATCTCTCTCCAGAAGCTACATGGGATTAATTTCAAATCTCTGGAATACAGACTGAGCATGGTAAATGTTGAAAGAACCAAAGAATTCATCCAGGCCAGGCCAATCTTCCCCTTTTCCTTATGAGGAAGCTGAGGCGGTGGGCAGCACGTCTTGCCTTAGTCTAGGTCCCAATCCGAGACCTGCCTCTTGAGATCCTCCCGCATTGATGCAGCCTCTTTGTTGCCTCTGGAGGATGAAGAGTCCTGCCGCTTGCACTTGCAACAAAAAATGTCAAGTAGCAACATAGCAGCACATCTGCATTAATCTAAAAGCATATTAGGTATAAATTACCGTGGTAGGAATTAAAGACCAGTACAAGTTTGTGATTCATACTCCTCCCACCACCCCATGCCACCTCCATCCAAATGGAGTACTTTTTTTTTCTTCTTTTGGGAAGTCAAAACACTATGTGCTGGCTCTAATGGACCACACCAGAAGGAATCTCCCATCTTGATGAAGTCAGCACAGAGATGCACTTAAATTAGACCTTCTGGAGGGCATCAGAATGCAGAATGTAAATGTCTTCTTCGTTCACACCAGCCACGTTTCCCACGCAAAATATTGATCCTGATTTCTTCACTTAGAACTAAAAAAAAGGCTTCTTAAGTATAATTGCTTAAGTGTGTAAGGTGGGAGAGCAGAAATCTTGAGTTACAGAATTTCATCAGTAGTACCTACAGTATTTACTTGCAATATTTTGCCCCTTCAGGTAATTCCCTTATCTTGTGCATCCCCAGTATTTTGTGGTTTTTGTTCCTGATAACATCTGCTGGGTCTGAATTAATAGCCTGCACAGGGGCAGAAAAAGGCTAGCTGCAACCTTTGGTAAGCTTCTTAGAAATTTATGTGATAATAACATTTCTGCAACCATATTGAACAATTAAAAAACAAATTACAAATCTGTAAACACATTTAGACTCCTCAAGCTTTTTGCAGACAGGATGATGCATTTTTATCAGATGGCATTTAAATTTACATCGCTGTTCTGCCTTCCCCTCTTTTTTTGGTGCTTTGTGGACAGAATTTTTCTGAGTCCAGACTGAGTGAAGGTATGATGTTCCTTTGTACATCTGTTCTTTCCAGAAGAAAAGCAACTTTCTCTTACAGAAACCCATACGACCCTACTTTTGTTCCATGGGATTTGGGGAAAATCACTGATAAGTTAACTTTGCCACGTAATTTGTCCACAGCAGTGTCAGAGTCCAGTGGATGAAAATTCATCATAAGCTTAAAGTCCTCAGTATGATTTCTCCTATTTATAGATGAGGAAGTAGAGGCAGTGCTCCTAAGTGACCAGGCCTGGAGCTAGTTACCGATGAGTGGAACCAGGAACTGATTTCCCACTGCTTCACCCTATTCTCCTGCTTCCTCCTGCTAGCCTGGTACCATGCTGACAAGGATGGGGCTCAGGTGGTCACCTGTTCCACAGTACAGGGTTACAGCACGGTGTAACACCTCCCTTCCACCCCTGCCATTTAGCTGTAAAATAATGGTGGGGAAAAGATGGGAAGTATGCAAGCAAATACACTAGGTCTGGAGATAAAGGTCTTTATTCCTCTTGCAACCAGGAAACTATTCAATTGGTCTAGAGTTTTCTTAGACATCAAAATGGCTTCACTTCTGTGCACTATAATAGAAAAGCATCCTTTTTCTATAAATCCCATTAAGAAACTGCCTTAGCTTCCTCTTCTGAATACATAAAAACCGCTACTTAAACATACCACATTACATTTCCTTTGTGGTTTATTTTCCTTAAATAATAATTTGCTACAATCCTGTCAGAGACTTTTTAAAAATTGAGCACAGGATTAACAAAGGCAGAATTCTTGAGGACAATCAGAATCATGGCATACTTAGAATAAATTAACATCAACTCGTGTTTATAGTCAGATAGTCTGATCCTCTCCTTTGAAATGAAATGGAGACCATTGTAACCGAAGGTTAATGCACACATTTGTTCCATACAGAGACTCATTCTTTACATAAACTCCACTGTCATTTGAATGAAGTTAGGAATCCTGAGAAACACTCAGCCATGGGTGCACACGCGTCAACCCACACCACCCGACAGCCATCTAGAGCTGGCTTTCCCATGGTGCAATGGCTGGAAGATCTTTCCTCAGAAGGGCCAAAGATTCTGAATATTTAGATGATATCCTGTCTCCCCTCAGGAAAATGATAATGCTTCAAGTGTCATAGCTTGAAGTAGCAGCAATCCATGTAGTAGATTCAGTAGTTGACGATTCCAGTCTTGGGCGCCGACAGCACAGCGAGAGGCGGACAGAGGCGAGCAGCACCTGCTCCGACCACCGACACCCAGACACCAAGACAACACCCCACATCCTCACTCTCAGAGTCTCGACTGAAAACTCACCCAAACCTACATGACTAATCTGGTTCAGGCACTGCGTGTGAACCTGAAGAAGGCCCACGAAGGCAGGCAGAAAGCGGGGCGTTTTGGGAACGTATCTGAGGACCGAGAAAGTCAGAGGCGCGGGAAGGGGAGGCAGGGACAAAGGAAGGGGAGGCGGGAAAGGTACTGCTCATCCAT